TGCCAGCTGGGGTTAAACCATGACACTGAGGAGATTAATCTCTCTGTCTTTCTCCTCAAAATACATGCTTCCCTTGAAGTTACTTAGTGTATGCAGAATGTGAGATTCATTTTTTTTTCTGACTGACAGTACCACCATGGTCAAAAGAACTCATCTTTTCAGAGGTGCCATGTCAGCATGGAGATTTTGCGTTTGGTTTTGTTACAAGCTTGTGCAATAGGTCCTGGAGGTCAAGATTAGTTCCTTGCTCAACACTTCACGTACCAAAATTTATGTAGCAGCTTTTTGGACCTCCATGCGCAGTTTTTCTTTATATGATACTGTTGATAAAACCTGACTTTGGAAAGCTGCCTCTTATTCAGGTGGGGACTCTGACTGCTTTTCAGACTAGCAAATGTTTATTGCTTGCTTGTAGCCATCTGTTGAATGAATCATGGTAGATACAAATGGTTAGTGAAGGAAAAAGGCTCTTTTATTCTGACTGCGATAAATGCTCCTTGCCCTCTGTCCCGTAGAGTCAGAACCTGGGTGTGGGTCCACTGGGCTCCCTGACCCAGGGGAGCTGCGAGGCAGGAATGGGACTGGCCCTTTTTGGGACCAAAGGCAGAGTGTGGCTGAGGGGGGTCCTAGCTGTGCCCTGTGGGATAACCTGCTTGAGTCCAGGTGTGCACACACATTGCCAGGGTGCTTAAAACCAACCTCTGTGGAAAAATAAGGTACAGGTAAGTAACCTTGCTTTGTTAGTCACTGCTTGTTGAAGAACACTTCCTCTTGTGAACTGCTGCAGCCTTCTCCCTCACACACTACTGAACTTTGTTGAGGTGCATTCAAATAGTTGGACTTAATTGGACACTGTGCTGGTTTTAATATTCAGTTCTGGAGCTCTTTTTCATTATAGAGGGAGGAGATTATTCCCTGAACCTTGCTTTTGCACTGCAGATCAGCCTTCACATAGAACTTGGCCAAAAAATCCCTCAATGAAAGGAAATTGTGTGTGTTGCCATTTTCTTTAATGCAGCTGTTTATATGTAACACACATAAGTAAAGAATGCTTAGAATTCCACATGGTAAAACCATTTCAGATAGTTTTTGGTTTGGGGTTTTAGACCTTGCTTTTTACTTTTATTCTTAAATAAGTCACAGAATATTACAAACTAACTGCTGCTGATTGTACTTCATGTATTTTTGATAAAATACCAAGATTTTACTTTCAAAAAAGAAAATGCCTCTAAACTTACTAAAGATTTCTTTTGTGAGAGAAACTTTTTCCTGGGATTCAACTCTTTGAGAAACAAATGGAGAACTAGTAATGTTTTGAAAGTAACTAATGAGGCATTTTCTTGGTCTTGCAGTTGTTGCATGTCTCCAGGAGGTGGCACGTAGTAACTATTAAAAACCCGTAAAAGCCTTGCTGCCTGTCTGAGGTGCAGTTTGTCACCAGCTCAAAAATGAACCAATCTCTAGTTTGTCAGCATCACCAACTGCCATAGGATTACTGGAGCTTTAAATGTTATTCCTCTGCCTGATGTTGAGTGTTCCTGAGTGAGAACTGTATAGCTAAGGGTTTTTTTTCCCTCTACCATCCATTACCGCTGTAGAATTTGCTTATTAAAATCAAAGTATATTCCACTCGACTTCTAGAAAGAAAGTGATCCTGGAGTAGATGTTATTCAATCCTCCAAGCTCTGATATGAGTGCTTCACTCTGCTCATGTTCTAATGACTTGGTAGATGAATTGGAGCCTTTTCAAGGTTGGAACTATTGGGATGGTTTCTTGGTTTGTTTTGGTTTTGGTTTTTACTAAATGTTTTTGTTTTCATTATTTCCTCCTAGGTTACAACTCTTCCAAACTCTCTGGTTGGAAACACCGTGCCTCGCCAAAGGATGCGGAAGCGGGCAAAAGTTTTATCTTTGGCTAAAAGGTACTTGGGCTTCTGGGAAGTGGAAAATTCATGCCATGGAGGCAGCTTTTGTGGTTTTTTGTTTGTGATGTGGAAGCTATCCCTAGCATAGCACTTTTCTGTAGTTGCTGTTTTTTCACAGTCCTGTCAGCTGTGTATCAGCCTGGCTTTTTGCTGGGAAGTTTGCTGAAATGGAGTGGTTTATGCACACAGCACTGTCTCTAGTTTTACTGAAGAAAGGCACGAGGGTGGAATGCTACTGTTTTATCTGATGGATAATGTGTAACTTGGCATGGTGTGCATTTAGTATTGCAGTCAACCTCTGGTGTCGCTATACAGCCCGTACTTAAGGCAAAAGAGGAGACTTCCTGAACCTTCTGACTTGTGTTTTTCTTTGTAGGATTCTGCGTATTAAGAAGGAGTGTCCAACTCTGCAGCCGAAAGAACCACCTCCCTCTTTGCTAGAGGCAGATCTGACTGAATTTGATGTAAAGAATTCCCATTTGCCATCGGAAGTCCTGTACATGCTTAAAAATGTTAGGTAATGTTAAATGGGAAGATAAGTTTGGATTTTGGTTTTGCCAGACGTTCAGGTGATCTAAGTATCTGGCAGTTTGTGTCAAGTTTTAAATTTTATCCCTGCATGGTCAGAATCTTTAAGTAGTTGACTGAAAATTCTGAGCATGAGGAAAGAATAAATGACTTCTAATTTTCCAAAAATGTTAAGAGAAGAGTTGAGTGCATTAAAAAAAAAAAAAGCAAACAAAAAACCCTAACAAACCTGTAGATTAATGGCCTAAATTTGGGGATGGTGATAATAATAAGGCTATTCTAACATTTCTGTTAGTGCTTTTTAAAAATTTGAAAATTTCTGTTAGTGCATTTTAAAAATTCCCTTTAGACTATAACACAATTTTTTTGCTACAGAAAAGCATCATAATTAGTTAATGTTAATTGGATACCATACTGACAACTCTCTAAACTGCAGAATCTTTTACTTCTCCGGCCAAAAAGGTTGCAACTTAATCCCCACAGCGCTTTGGTGGGTTAAGCAGAAGGGATGGTCTTTGTGCCTGTTCAGTAAGGGGTTAAATTTGCTGACACAGCAAAGAGGATGAGATCTTCCAATCTGTAATTTTGGTTTTTTTTGTGTATGTTCATTTTTCTTCCAATTATGATGTAATTTAGTCCCAAAGGTCATGCATACGGTAATAAAACTGCTGTTTAAGTAATCTAAATGTTCTGTTGTGGAATTATGATCACCTATGGCTAATTGACATTGCACTAGAATTTGATTGATTGATCCTGTTAATGTGAGCTAGTGGAGCTATGTGGAGGACCCTTCTGGTGCTGTGCACAGAATGATCAGGTTTAAGATGTGTATTGCTGTCTGCCTGGTAGTGACTGACTAGTTTCAGTATTGAAGGAGTCCAGTTGCATATTACCTGCAGGAGATCAAATATTCCAAACTTACAAGTATATGCAGGTGACAGGAATTTTTCTCTTTGTTTTCAGTATTTCTTATGTGTTCTGGTCATGTGGACATGGTAGCTGTACTAAAAGGGAAACTTTTCTCATGCAATGTGTGAATCTTGCAGGTTTTTATATTTCTTCTCCTTCAAAAGCCATGCTGGTGTTTGCTTGAGGAAGACTGGATATACTTCCTTCTGAGCCTGCTGGCATTGCTGGGAGTGCTACTTGATAAGGAACTCCAGTATTTGCAGTTTTCAGTGTTTCACAGCACTCTTGCACTTCTGTCTTGGGGAGTTCTGCTCCTTCTGCCGTGCTGTTGGACTGCAACACCTGACTCTGGGGTTCCTGTGCTATTTGTGTCTGAGGGCTTTGCTAATTCAGGAAGGATTTTCCAAGGGCAGTGGCTGATTTTAGATTTCCTTTTGCATTTTCTTTCCTGCAGGGTCCTTGGCCACTTTGAGAAACCTCTTTTCCTGGAACTGTGCAAGCACATGTTTTTTGTGCAATTGCATGAAGGTGAATACATCTTTCGTCCTGGGCAGCTGGATAACAGCATCTACGTTGTGCAGGATGGCAAGCTGGAAGTTTGCATTCAAGAAAGTGTAAGAATAAACGGATCTGTGGTTCTTGAGATAAATCTGTTGGCATGAATCATTAAGCATTGATTAAACTTAGGCATTTGAATCACAGTGATTTAGAAAGGATTACTTCCAGCTACTTCAGGGCTGTGATATTTAGAAAGATCAAGGTTTTTAGCTGTGGTCCCCTGTATCTTAGATGAGAGAGTGAAACACAATGCTGGTCGGGCGTTCTGAAATGTCCTCACATACTCTAGTTGCATAGTTACTGAGAGAGAACAGGGTGCAAGACGGGCTTTGCATAGCATTGGAAACGTTCTCCATTTGGATGGTAGTTGTATAAAATAGTTAGGTATACAGAGCAGGAGAGAGTGAGTACACTTCACTCCATGATATTCTAGCATGGTAGTTAGTGGGATTGCCTGGGAGGTGGAAGATTCAGATTCGCTTTTGGGTAGACAGCGAAAAGAAATGATGGCTTGTTTTATGAGTGAGTCTTAAAATGTTGAATGCTCGTCCTTGTGATCCCTTTTGCCAATTTAGAATATTTTTTTTTCCTTCATTCTTACTGATTGACCTTTGAGTTTAGCTTTAACATGTGAGCAGTTTTCTGATGGCTGAAAATGGTACAATTTACAAACACAAAACCCTTGCAAATTTGCTGATTTCTGTATATTTTTGCATTTTGCTGTTCTTTGTTTTGTACTACCTCTTGACATGTAATCCCTCGATAAAGGGAGCTAATTCTGTCTCAGAGGGAAGGAAGCTTTTTTTTTTTGGTTGGTTGTTACATAGCAAAGACAAGCACGTCACATCTCCCCCTAGACAAAACTGGCTTTTAGTTTCTTTTAATCTATCACTTTTAGAATGGTGGTTTAAAACTTGGTGATTTGAATTAGCACATTTCCATCAGAGCAGAGAGAAAACAAGCATCCAGGTTATAATGGGGGAACCATTTCTTTTCGGGCTGCTCAGAGTATCTGGGAGAATGAGAGCAAGTTAGGCTTTCTAAAATGCTCCATATATGCCAACTATGCAACTGTGAGCCTGCAGTAATCTTCTATCCTACACTTGCAGGATGGAACCGAAGTGGTTGTTAAGGAGGTGCTGGCAGGAGACAGCGTCCACAGCCTTCTCAGCATTCTGGATGTTATCACAGTAAGTTCTTGAACATGCAGGTTTTCTGCAGTGCTGCTTTATGTCACAGAGCCTGTTGGGGGAAGGAGGCTTTGAATATTGCTGGGAGAGAATAAGAATGGAAAATGTTTCTTTGACCAAATATTTTCCTCCTCCCAGGCCTTCACAGCTGTAAACTTAGCTCTGTGGTACATAAGTGGGTATGTGCTTGACAGTATAACACTGGCTATTTCTGATAAGCAGTAGGATTTGAATTATTCTTTTATGGCTGGAAGACTGAGGTATGGTTTGATTTGCTGAAGGTCACAAAGCAGTCAGGAGGAGGACCGGGTTAAGACCCAGAAGTCTAGGCTTTTACACTATTTGATTTGTTACTTACTGAATTTACTTTTATGTAGTCTAATGAAAATAAATATGAGGGTTGTTATTACTGTGATTATACTGTGAAACCAGTTGATGGATTTAATGTTCTCCTAATATGTTAATGTTGCTGCTGACCATCTGAAGGTTGTACTCTTTGGCAGGTGACAAAGTGAGCTAAATGCTAGCTGGTCGTATTATTGCACAAATTAGCGGTGTGGATTTTGTTTCAGTTGGAATTGCAATGATGGTTTTGCTGAAATTGTCACAGTGCATCTGTTTAGGAATACCAAAATTGAAGGTGATGAATTCATCGTCTTCGATAATACGCAAGCACTTAAAGTGCTTATTTGAAGGATTTTGATAGTTTAGAGGATGAAGATAATCTAATCAATAAGTTGTTCATATTTGACCTTGTATCATGTTTCTCTTGTGCTTGCCTGTCTCCTTTCATTAAAAGGTGCTGTTATTCTTCGTGTAAGTAGTTTTAATGATTCTGTGAAATGTTCTTTGCCACTTTTAGATGCAAGCATGTATCTATCTATCTATCTAATTTCCATAAAACCTATCGAAAGTGATAAACAATTTTTAAGCATGGTCATGCCTTCTTCTGTAGAAAGTAATGGCACATGAATAATTTGGACTGTACAAGTCTAGTTCTTGCTGTGAAATCCATATTAATAGCAGATTTAGATGTATCTTTGCCCTTGTTATTTCCACCAGTCAATTTTCTTAACAATATTCTAAAGAGCAGGACCATCATATAGGAACATGAATACTAGTCATGTTCTTTTCCTGTATTCTTTTTGAATAATCAAGAAGAAATCCTTCTTGAATAACAATAGTTTGTGGTTTTGGTTTTTTAAAGGGTAGTTGCTGTTGATTTTGTGTTGTGGTGGGGCTTTTTTTTCTTATTGATTGGTTTGTTTGTTTTGTTTAATTCTCATTCTGTCATTTTTTTTTTCTCTTTCTCATTAGTTATACCACTGGTAAATCAGAAAATAAAAATCATTGAAAGTGTGTTGAAAAGAGTTATCAATGTGCAGAAGAGTATATAACCAAAAACCTTGCAAATTTTTTTGCTAAAGTAACTTGTTCTCATTTATTTTTATAATTCTCTTTTCTCCCTTGTTTCCCAGCTTTGTGAACTGGTGGTTTTATTTCTGTTTTTCCTCTTCCTTATGCTCCTTACTGACTTTAGATATAGGAGTAGCATGAAGGTGGGCAAGGAGAGAGAAAGTAGCATTGATCAAAATAGAGGAGACTTCTCAGTGGCACTCCAAGTTAGTGAATGAGTCCTAGAACTTCCTGCAGATACTGTAACCTTAATTAAGTTTAGCTGTACCACCAAACACATGGATATGACATGAAGAAAGAATTTGTTCAGAGAGGATTTGAGTTGTCTGAGCTGAATTTGTGATTCCTTTGATTTTTGTAATACATGAAGTCAGGCCAATCCCCCCTTGGTTCAGAGATGTGCAAGAAAATTGAAGTTGCTGCAAGAAGTGGTGACCTCTTGTTGTTGGATCTAAACAAAAGGTCACACAAGAGGTACTTTTCTAATGTAGTTTTCCAATTTGCAATCTACTAAATACAAAGATACCAGCTGTGACATAAGACTTGTTCTGTATTTCACTTATTCTGAGAACAGATAAATACTGCTTTCTCAAAACTCGAAGGAGAAACTGGGAGCTTTTGAATCCAAGTAGATGCTAGCCCTTTTCTGGTATTTTGGAAGAATTCTGTGTTGTAGTTAATCTGACTCTGAATTGATACTGCCTCAAATACTAAAGAAGCCTCCGAACTGAACATTGTTGATGTCCATGCAAGTGTTTTCAGAAGCTGTTGCTGAGTGCTCACTCTACCCGTGTGTGCAGTCAGATCTTTTTCCTGAAAGGTTGAATTTTCATTCAGAGTTGAATGGAACAAATAGAGACGGTGTTTGATGCTGACTGCTAGAGCTTGGAGTTTTACTCTTCTTTTGTCCTCCATGTGGAGATGATATTTGGAAAACTGTAAGCAGGTGGCATGGTTGGAATGAAAAAGAAGAGACTGGGAGGAATATTGATCAATTTCCAGTGGCTGAGGGGAAAGAAAAAAAAAAGAAAGTCTGAGAATTAAAAGAAGCTGAAAAAACACTTGGATAAAGGTGAGCTTGCAGGGCTCAAGTCTGTTTAAATGGCAGTGGACAAGATAGATGAGGTTATAAAGAAGCGATTGATTGCTGCAAGAACTGGGGGTTGCAACAGTGTTGGTGTAGTGTGGAGAATGGCGGGTAGGAGCGGAGGAAGACAAAACCCAGGCAATGGGAATAGGGAGAATATGCCAGATTTTGGGTACAAAAGGAGTTACCGCTCCAGGGAGGAGAATGTAAGGTACCTGTGTCTCTTGTAGCAGACTTCTTAACCAAATTCATTTAGATTTGGCCATTAGCTGTCATCTGATTTCAACTACTACTTTAGCTGTGACATTTGTCACCTACAATATTTAATTACTCTGCAGCTCTTAGAACAAGACAGAAGTAAATAGTTACCTGTGTTGAGAACAAAAAGTTCTCTGCTGAAAAACCCTAGTTCACTACTGATTATAACTTAACTGTTCCTTGTGACCTCAGTGTGTGATTGTAAAATAATATAATTTAAACGTTGTATTCTCCGTGTGCTGCTGATTACATTATATTTGAGACAACTGACAATTACGGGAACATTTCCTCTTTGCATTCCTCTGACAGCTTTTGGCATGTTCCAAACCAATTAGATGTGGTTGGCCCTTTCAAAAGCAGGCTGCTCTCATGCAGGGATTTCGAAAAGGAAAAATTGTTATGCTGAAAAACTGAAGGGATAGGCTGTTGTTTGGCAAAAGAAGCTGCTACGTCATTATCTATTGTTATCCTAAAACTGGTTTTCAGAGAAACTGTCAGCATTAGTCTATCCTCAAACAGGCACTGTTCAGAAAAAAAACCAAACACTTTACTGGGTAGACTGTAGATCATATAAATGTGATATACAGTGCTTATTTTGCCCTTTTCAGTAACTGTTATGGAACACTATTAAACTTAATGCTTATCCTTTGTCCAGCGACGAAAGATTTAATAGATTTCTCTAGTTTTTCACCGTGTATTTAGCGTAGAGATCAGTAGGAAATACAATTGATGGCAGATATAGCAATGTATGTACTTAAAAGCAGACTATGTACATTTTCTTTTACATTGAAGTATAAAAGGAATTCTAAATGACTTCTTCATCTAAAGCCAGGCTTTAAACTGGCCTGTAAAAGAGAAATGTTGTATTTATTTTTGGGTACAGCAAAAGCACAGAAATGTCATTTGTTAATTTCTTTACTTAAAAGAAACTTGGGACAACTGAGGACGCCTGGTAGCTTTGCATTGTAGGTCAAAGAGATGTTTAAAATTTCAAATCCCTCAGGAACTTGAAAATCAAAGCTATTAATATCATCCCCAGATTTTATAAAAAGGTCAGCTGAAGTTGATGTAATTAAGAAATTGGTTCCAATTAATTTAATTTAGTTTTAGAATCTGCTTCATCGTGACTTCCAGACCAGCAGGCAGACAGAGCTGTAGCTTTATTTTTCAGAGTGGTTATAGTTGTACAGAATGTTTGGTTTTGCTGTATTCTTTAGGCAGAAATTCTTTTGCAGTGATTGTGTTTAATTGTCTGATGCTCTGGAGGACTTGCAATTTTTTTCATTGGTAATCAGCATGTAACATCTGTGTGTTTAGTGTTTGGAAAAATTTGCTTTCTGCTATTCAGGAGGAATGGAAGTTTCAGAAGCTGTAAGGAGACTGTTAGAGTAGAAACTCCATTTCTTACTTAGCTCCTGCTCTGTACCACAGAAGGACTCCTTTTATCTTAGAAATATTGGATAAATCAATATTTCATGTATTAGTAAATGAATTTATGACTTATAGATATTCTTTTCAGCATTTAATAATGGGGTAGAAAGGGTGTTGTCTGGAGTTTTTTATCCAAGTGTTTTGCAGTGGGTTTTTGTTAAAATCTATTCTGATGCAAGGGGGAAAATCCTAAACCAGAGGCTTGCCTCCCAGTGTAAAAGAATCGCTGTATTCTACCCACTTACAGTTTTATCTTTCATTGGTTTGTCAATTCTCCATCTGTTCTTCGAGCAACTCAGGATGGTCTCGACCCAGTTTCTCTCAAGTAAAGAGAAGTTGTTTGACTTTATCATTTGGAATATTTCATATATACATATATGAATATATATGAAGATACATGTATATATCTTAGAACACAAGAAGTCTGACTGATTTTTGTCTTATTCCATTATGTATGTAATTACTACACAATTTTGTTACATTATATTTTTTGCTGATTGTATGAGTCTATGATTGTTATTGCAGCAAACGGCTTGGTCATCAGTACAGATAACAAAATCAACAAAACCTCTTCTCTCTGCAGCCTTGAATAGCTGGAAGTTGAAGCTACTTCTGAAGCCTGGCTTTGTCTGTAATGAAACTGTAAGAGAGTTGACAGACTAGCCAGTTCCCCTTAACCTGATACACCACCTTGTAGCTCTTATTTCTCTACCTCTGTCTCTGTTTAATGCTAGTGAAATTGCTGGTGTGAATTCACCTGATCATGCTGCCCTCATTACACCACCTGTAGGTCATGGAGCATAAGGTCAAGGCTTTTTGTGGTCAGATGATGTCTGTCAAGCATATACAATATCAGAGTAGAAATTTGGGAAGCGATTGGGAAGAATTGGGTCAGATAATTGGTGGATTAACCTTGTGTCTTGGAAACTTTCTATTAGGGTCATCCTGCTCCTTATAAAACAGTCTCAGCCCGCGCAGCCATTCCGTCCACTATATTGCGACTTCCAGCAAGTGCCTTTCAAGATGTCTTCCAGAAATATCCTGAAACTCTTGTTAGAGTGGTACAGGTAAGCTTCGTTGTGGAGTAGAATTGGGGGGGAGGGGAGGGGGAGGGAATCAGTCTAATTTCGAAGTTATAAGGAAGACATTTTGAAGTTCAGCAAGCTCATCATCCTTTTGCGGATAATGGAACTGTTCGGTGTAACTTCTTTTCAAGATTTGGACTAAATCTGCTATTCCTCTCGCTCTTAGAGCCTTAGACTTATTGATGTCAGCATTAATCCCATACAGGAAGAAATAATTCATATATATATATAGACACATTGAATCATGTGATAGCCTCTTGAATCAGCCTGACCTGCACCGTAAGCTTGTTGGTCCTGGTGGAGCAGAATGTGCTGGCATGGGCACTGCATCATGGTTATGCACCAACAAGGCTTTGAAATGGCTTAGAATATGGAAAAGACTGTTGCATATTCTGAAAAAGGACTGATGTATCTTCAGAAGCTGTTTGAGGGATGGTGCTTTGTAAAAGTCACAAAATTCAGACTGATGTGAATTTCCACTTCAGAAGCAATTGTTAGCATCTGAGGAAAGAGCTGTACTTTGTATTAAAGTTCACTTTCCTTTGCTTTGCAGGGGATTAGACAGTTCTCAAGTGAGCACTGCAAATATGTCTTGTACATCCTGCAAGTGGAAGCTAGCGCAGGGACTAGTGTATTAATGGTTTCAGTTTGGAGAGTTTGCCAAGTGGTGCATTGTCCCACAGGTATAACAGTCACCTGGGTGTGCATGACCTAATGAGTCATTCTGGTCTGTCCTTTTGTTTTACTATCACTTCTAAATCTTTTTGTCCTTGCAAAATATTCTGGTATCTAGATGATTTATGAGTGACACATGAACCTCCTAATACTGATGGTTGAGGAGAACAGATCATTATAGCAATTTAGTTCACTCTGTGAGAGCTGATACAGAAGAGAGGATGGGTTACGAGTGGGAATAAGCTGCCAGAGCAGAGGAAGGTCAGGTGGCAGTGATGTCTATTTATGTATGTTAGTGTAGAGTGATTGTAGAGCAACAGCACAGGCTCTGCATGGGGAAAGCGGGATTAATTTTTTTAATGAGGGGGAAAAAATGGAGGCAAATGCTTTTATTTCAAGGCATGTTTATTATTAATGTTTACAGAAAACAAAAAAGCATTATTTGGTGTTTGGGAGTAAGACTTTGGATTCTTGTGCCATCAAATGGATGTAAAATCTTTGGTAAATCACTTGAATCTATCTTTGCCTCAATTTATCAACTGCTAAAAAGGAATTTCAGCTTAGGGTACATTCTGTATTTTATAAAGTGCCTTCAGGCACTCTGGTACGTGACTGTATTTAAATGCAAGACAGAGTGTGGGAGAATGCTAAATCCATTCCTATTGCTTCTTGATTTCCCATTTCTAGATCATCATGGTAAGGCTACAGAGAGTGACATTCCTCGCTTTGCACAACTACCTTGGTCTGACTACTGAGCTCTTTAATTGTGTAAGTTTGGGGTACATTTTATGTGCTCTTCCTATGCAACCTGTCTGTGACTTGGCACAGAGAGGTGTTCCTTCTTGCACAAGATCATAAAGCAAAAGTTACGTATTAATTTAATAACAACAGTACTTGAGAAGTAAGGTACTTGTTATAACCAGCCCATAAAATCCAGCCTACGCTGATGCCTGGGGAATTGGGGGGAAGCTTAAATTTCGAAAGTTTGAAGAAGTGCATCAAACTGGTGAACGTGCACCACTGTGCACATAACACCAGTATGTTTCAGCAGTCCTGGCATTTGTTAATGATACTGAGGCACTTCTACCTACAAGAGTTCAAAGGAAGGTGTACCCTTGGTGGAACAGGATCAGGTCAGGGAATACTTAAGCAAACTGGGCATACATAAGTCCATGGGCCTAGGAGTGCTGAGGGAGCTGGCAGGTATCATTGCAAGGCCACGCTTGATAATCTTTGATGACTGCAACTGCGAGAAGTACCCCAGGGATCAGTACAAGGTCCAGTCCCGGGTAACATGTATGAGTGTGTGGTTTATGTTTGCCTTTTGACCTTGCTTCTTGCAGCAGAGCCAAGCCATCCCACTCATCTCTGTGACAAGTGTAACATCTGGAGGAAGTTCAAGCAAAGCAGTAAAAAGACAAGTGTCTAATGTATCAGAGGAAGATCGTGCAGAAAAGTTTGAAAAAGCAGGGGAAGCACAGGAAATAGGTAATGTTTCTGGAAATGTGTAGTAACTGTCCTTTGTGATGTTCTTTAATTGTTGTGCTGTTGATCAGAGGATTTTTATTTGATTACAGTAGTTAGGGATTGTTTTAAATCAGTTTCAGGTTTGAAGTCTTTGGATAGTCTTTAGCTTTAATAGGAAATTATTACTGTGTTGTTAATAATATCAAGGGGTGAGGGGGAGGGGAAAAACGTGGCTCCTAATGTTGACTTTATAGAAGGAGCTGTGAAAATTTTGTACTCTAGATACTAGCAGAAGAGTTGCTGGATGTGTGTAGGCTTTCAGATTGAAGTATCAGTATGGAAGCTAAGCCTAGGAAAATAAATTGAGTTGAATTTTGCCTCTGAACCTGAAAAATTCTTTTAATTAAATCAAAAGCGGGAAGCAGGTTTAAACAATGTTTAACATTTGTGTTTCAAAACCTTTAACAGAGCCTTTAAGTTTTAAAAGTGGGTAGTGAGAGGTTCTTGCTGTCAGTGAAACTGATTTTATTAGGGAGTACCTTGTGTTTACATTTGTGTAACTTTTGTTTCTAAATTGCAGATACCTTGAAGTTTTCTGGTACAGAAAACTCTGAGCATGTTTTCAGAAGAAGCCTTTCTTCACCTCCCTATGCAGGGTCTGCAGAGACTTCTAGTAAGTAGCGCTTGGCAAAATTGTGGGAAGTATGTAATGTATCTAATCATATGGGCGAAGACACATGCTCTCTGGAGAGCTGGGTTAGGTTATCTTCCTGTTTATGTTAGATAAGCATCTTGCAGTGGTACTGCTTCCTAACTCATTTTGTCAAAAATTTATTTTCTGAAGTAACAAATGGACTGTTATCTAAGAGAGCATTCCCTTGCTGTCTTTATTTGCAATGGGGAACATACAGCAGTTTGACTACCAAGAGACCTGCAAATGAAGAGCTTTCTTAATTGATATAACTGAAACAAAGTGAGTTATGAGGTTCTGCTGTCATCTTTCATGTAAAAGATGACACACGAATCTTGCTTGGCTGATTGTCCCAAAGAGCACATTACATGGCTTTGTTGTTTTTAGAGGAATGTTTTCTGAGTGGGTAATAAAGGTGATTTATCATTGAATGCTCTGATGAGACATTTATGAGGCTGAACTGTTTTGATGCTGCAGTATTCATTTCAGTGAACTTCAGTCATCTCCACTGTAGACATTTTCCTCTGAGCCAGTTGTTTAGGTTAGCTTTATGTTCAAGGTAGAGAAACTGAAACTTCTTGGGTGAATCACAGAAGGAAGGCATCTGTCTTTTGTTAGCTGAGTACCAAACTAACCATCTTGAGGTAGCTGTAAGGTCATGCTTAGAAACTGTAGTCATTATGAAGATATTGTTAATAGAGAAGTCATATAAAGTTTTATCAGTGGAATAAAGGTACCCTGGATACATTACGAGATACATACACGTATTGCTTACGTCGACTGTTAAATGGCTTATGAGATAAGAACATACCATGAGAGGTTAGAGAGTATGGAGAGAAGGAGAAAGGAGGGAGCCCACAGTGTTGAGGGCTTTCCCCAGCGTAAGGTTTCTAACACTTATGGCTATCAAGTTAAGTTGGTGGTATGTAGAGGAGAAGAATGGGTAATTGTTTTTAACAGCAGAAAGCGGACTCACTTCCTCTTCAGTTTCTGCTGTGCAAATGTACAATGTCCCAGTTACATTTCTTCATAACTTCCATGTTACTGTCCAAAGCGATGGATGTGACAGAGAAGTAGGATTTTGACTAGTGATAGCCAAAGTAGATAATCTTTCTGAAAAAGGGAGAATACTGAACTGACCCATGTAAGACTTGGCTTTGTTTACATACGTGTTAGGTTGTTTTTCATTATAAAATGTACCAGCAGACTTGATTCAGTGGTGAATTAAAAGTAATGCTTACCCTAAACATAGCAATTTTTCCCCCAGGTAAATGAAGTAGTTCAGTGAGATCTGCCTATGTGGCCTTGTAACACTTTCAAGGTGGAGTCCATCCGTGTTCTTCGAAGCTTTCATGTGGAAGGATCCCTGCATACTTAACAGTGGATATGTCCATTTGTCCTTCCTTTTCCCTTTGTGTGTCGTAACAGTTACGTCAGGGTACACAGAGCTTAGCAGAGAGAGAAAATTAATTTTTGCTGACAGAAGGAGCATATCTAATTTAGGTAATTATGATTTGCCTCAGTTAACGGAGCTGATTTCTGCTCACTGCACTGAGGTTACAGTCACTGTTTAGCTTGCACGGGAAGTATCTTGATGTCTGTAATGAAAAGATCAAGATCTTGCTTCAGATTCTATCCCACTACCTTACTGTGTGTTCAGACTCCATGGGAATATTGATTATGTTTATTATTGATTCAGAGAAAAGAGAACTGTCTGTTATTAGAGTTATATAGGTGCTATTTTCTCAGCATCTCTTTGATTTGCTTGGCTCATTAAAATTAACAAAAGCTGCTAAAAGTGACTTTGAGGAAAACATTTTTGCCTCAGTTGGTCTTGGGGTTGGGGTGTGATTTGTTCTTCTGGTTTTTGTATAGCTATTGAACTTGAAACTTAGCAGTTGTATAGAGGAGGAAATATGATCCTGCCAACTTAGGCTAGCCTGCTTTTTAAGTATACTAAGCCTTGATGTGGAGAAAGATGTAATTTAAGTCACGTGGGGTATCTGGGATGGTGGACAGACTTAGATGAACGAAATAAAATATGGGATCTTTTGTATGTGATAACTTCACCAGTTTTATTGTTCCTGGATGTAAGTGTTCCCGACTGATTTATTTTTTTTAAAAAAAATTAAATAGCAGTTATCTTTCATTGGTTTGTTGGGTTTTTTTTTAATCAAGAGTTAAGAGAAGCCACTTTTCCTTCTTCAGAAGTGAAGCTATGATCCTACAGTATACATGCAGGAGCGTAGGACGACCTGCATTAGGAAAAGCAGGTAGTTCAGCGAGTGAGTACTTGGAAGGAGAGAGGCAGCTGAAATACTGCCAGGGACTGTGTCAGTTGCCATTGTTTTTGCCGTGACTTCCATACCAGCAGTGTGTGGGATACCAGCGAGCATGTGTTCATCAAACAGGATTGCATTCCACTCTTGAGTTTCCCACTGCCTTCTGTTCTTTTTGACTTAACGGTTCTAGTTAAAGCTTGTTCTGCTGTATCCTTTGTAACTCCCATTTGAGCAACAAGACAGTTTAATTAATCACTGTGTGGGAAGCTTACATCTACGACTGAGATGGAGACTTCTACTTTGAATAGAAGTCTAGTAGACATAAGCTTTCACTCTTAGAATGCCTCCTCTTTTTCCTCTCTCTGATTTTTTTTTTTTTTTTTTTTAATATGCAGAGCTATGTAGAGGATGCTTTTCATGCCTACATTATCAGATTATTTAGGTTTAACCTGAGAAGTGTGTGTTTAGATTTAAAATGCACTTGGTGTATTGGGGCTTAGTAATTATGCTGACACTGTGATTTGTGGGGCAGTATAATTGACAGGTAGTCAAATCAGCCCATATGGAGTTCCATGCTGCTATTTCTACTATCCCAGCTTTTTTTGTTTATAACTAATTTAGGGTCTTTAATGTTGCAGTGTGTATGAAATTAAGTTAGTAGCATCAACAGCTTGTTTTGGTTTTTTTTGGTCTTATGGTTTGTAAGTTTTGCTGATGACAATCTTTGGGTCAACTTGTTGAGTTTCTTGTTTGGAGGTTGTTCTTGAAATGATGTTATGATCCCAGTGGCAGACGTGGATTTACTACATGCAAAGATTTGTTCATATTTGTAGATAAAATGGAAAAGAGTGCTCTGAGGTAGATCTGAATCTTTGGGACAGTAGGATTCTCTCCTTATCCTAGCTGGGGTGGAGATAGGAGTCAAGCTCCTTCAGAAATAAAATAACTGTATTTTTAAAATTAAATTTATAGGCAGCTCTTTATAGGAGGGTAATATTTTCACATGATCATATGTCACCAGGGTGTAAATATAGGGCAGCTCCATGTTTCCAAAAGCCAACTTTCCAAAGATCAGGGCAGTCCTGGGCAAACTGAAGTGTGTATGGAGGGGGAGGGCATGGGGGAGGAATTCAGAATTAAAAATGTGAGCCCTTTCAGAGTTCATTAGGTAGCAACTGTCGTTCCTGACTGCTGAATTTTGTTTTTCCGAAGGGCCCATCCTATTTTTGAGCAGTAATTTGTATTTAAAAAAGCAAGATGTAGTAACAGAAGGAAAAAGGTGTAAGGGAGAAAATTTAAACTTTTCTGAGTACAGTATATTTTTGAGATATATTAGGCATAGAAATACAATAGAAATTATATAGGTTTATTTGTTAAGGGAAATTGCAATCTCTGCATGATTCTTAAACTTGTCTGTAAATCATCAGGCTGATATGTGGGTGTCTTATTCAAGATAATTAAATAGGAAGCGTTTCTGAGTTATGTTTGTGTTATTGATTATCTCAGATAAGTTCCTGGAAGGTGCATGGGACAGCCAAGGAGCTAAGATAATTAAGATGTATAAAATTGGGAAGTAAGTTGTTAGTGACTTCAAATTCATGAATTAAATAAGTGAGATCTGTAAGGGAATTCCTTATGTATCTTTCGGCACATGGTGTGCATTGAAAATTTAGACAAGTTATAGAAAAGATCTGAAATAATTTTAGGCATCAAGGGGGAATGCTTCTATGGAGAGACTTTAAGAAGTTACTGGTCATAATACTCTCCCTGTGAAAACTCCTGTGATATATCGAGTACAAAATAGTTCTTTGGTTTGGTGGAGAAAAGTTAATGAGAATCATTTCCTGAAAACAATAAGGAAGATCCGTTTGATGGATTTGCCTCTTCCTGATAATATTCAGATCTGAATAAGTCTGTTTTGTCTACCCCAAAATAATTACTATACTCCGTACAAGAGTGGACGTGGGAATTTTGGGATATATTATATGCATGAGCTCAGATGAGAAGATTTAAAGTTCTCATCAGATCTTCCAGGTCAAAAGGAACTAGGAAATAGATAAGAATGTGAGGATGCCACTTTCTATTTTATCCTCAGCTTCAGAAATGAAAAAACAAACAAACAAAAAGCTGCTTGACTTTGTGTACTATCTGCTATTTCTGAGAAACTGTAATAAAGGAGATGCTTAAAAAAAGATTTTTATATTGCTTGTAGATAATTCCAGTGGTGCGAAGTCAGACATGGACATGGCGTATGAAAGAGCCAGAGTGCACTTTGGCTCGGAGGACACTCCCAGCAGTCCTGTTGTGGGCAAGGTAGGTCTTCTCCTTTGGAGAGTCCACATGCTTCTTGCATTGTACTTCCTTACATCATTATTGAGTAATTTAAATGTTTTCTCCCTTACTTTGAAATGCTGCCCTTGCAACTCTGTGCAAGTTGTGATATTTGGTCGTCTTGTATTGGTGTGTTTTAACTTACAGTTGTTTCAGTAGATTTTGGTGACTGTTTAGGCTTTTTAGTGCAGATCTTGAAACTCTGTGGAGGTTCCTTTGGCAAGTAATGGGAAAGCACTGCTGCAACTTCTTTATTTTAGGTGTTGCTTTCCTCTGACTCATGAAAAGGATTATTTGGAAGGATGAATTTGTCGCACCATGCTTTATTTGTGAGAACTACTTTGCATCAAGGAATTAAACACTTATATCAGCCTGTGAACTTCCTGTAGGTTTTCAGTCATGACTTATGAATCTGTTTTTCTTTTTGTGGTCTGCTCTTTATGAATACTGACCTGGAAGTTAAAAGCACAAAAATGCTCTTGAATTATAAAACTGCAAACCAGAACCTGAAGAGAAACTGTGGCTCAGTGTGACGTTGATGGACATTTTATCTTTTCCTCCATCTTTGTACACAGTGCTGATCAAGTTTTAGTTCTATCAAACTGGCACCTGCCCAGTTTCTGAAAAGTATCTTATTCTTTCCTTTTGCAAGCTGTGATGAGTAACTTTGTTTGACTTGAGTGTCAAGCTTTGCAGAAAAATAGAAGGATAATGAAGTTAGCAAGCTGTTGCTTTTTTGGAAACCTAGCTTTTTTTTTGCAGGCGACCAGCTGTGGTGGATAGAGAACACAGATGATACGGCAAGTTTTTGCTGGGTAGGTGCCAATTATAACGTTTAAACCAACACTTGTGTATCTGTTCTTTGCAGTCGATTTTGAAGAAGACTGTGACGGTGACAGAAACTCCTTCAGCAGTTTTCCATTATAGTGCTGTGCAAGATTCCTGTAATAGCAAACATATTGATGCCATTGTCGAAGCAGCAAAGAAAGACCTTTCAACCTTGATGAAACTTGATGTAAGTTATTGCAGGAAGAAATGGCTTTGGTTTTGCTTTTCATCTTATTCTGCCAGGCACTAAGAAGTAAATTTTCTCCCTAGTATACTGTAGACTAGCTGAATGTTTTATTCTGTAGTCTGTTGAAGTTATTAGCAGGACTGAAATAAATCTGAATTATTCTGCCATTTGAAAAGACCATACTGAAATGCACTGCATGAATCTTTTCTCACTGTGTACAGATTTATCCATGTGAGAAGTAAGCGTACGATTTCTACTGCCTCATACTCTCGCATACTGTGTGAAGGAGTTATGTAAAGGCGTTCAGGTGATTGCTGAATTTATTAATCCTGTTGGCATAGCATCCTAGTGCCTTGTTCGGTTTGTGGAATTGAATCTCTGTATTTGGCCAATGGCTATGAGTGCATTTCACAGCTGAGTGACTGTGCCATGCCCATTCCAAGTTAAATGCTTGGTGCCCTCACAGTTGTCGTTATTGAGCTCAGCCCCTGCTTATCACCTCTGTGTTGTAAGGAGGAATGAAAACATTTGTTTTCATCATTCCTGTGATTCCAGCTGCATTTTGTTACAGAGGTGTATCTGTTCATGCAGCTAATCAGACAATTTGGGAAAACTGTACGTCTATCTAAATCAGTCACAGGTATCCTGGTCTTATTACAGTGTACATTTCAATAACTCAAATCTGTTGATGCTGCCAGAGGCCTGGGCACAGCTGCTGCAGCCTCCTCCTCTGCTTTAAGAGCTCTCACCAAATGACACTTGCTAGAACTTAAAAGATTTTACTTTTGGATTTTAACATTCCCTGCTGACTTCCAAGTTATTCCCCTTGCAACTTCAAAGTCTTTGTCATGATCTTTCAGCTACCAGTAGTGAGACTCAAGATACATGCTCTACATTGTCACCGATCTGACAAAGGGTTGCAGTACTGTCTCTTAGTCTACAGGAGACTTAACTGTCTTATTATGTTAATTTTCATTTTTTCAGGCATTTATATCCTCATGAAAGGCTACAGACTATTTTAGAAATAATTCTTGTTACAGGTGGAGTAAACTAGGACTAGGTATTCTCATCTGTTCTGTTCAGCCTTCTGTTCTTCATAGGACTGGCCTCAGATGTGGCATGTGACAAAAGTTTGTAACCAATATAAAACTGACATCTTCCTTTTAGACCTATTGGATCATGAGCAAAAATTCCAAGATCACTGAAGCTACTACTTACAGGAGGTTTTGTTTTTGTTTTTTAATCTAGAATAAATTTCTCAGTAATTAACAAATAAACAGATTAGAGTTCAAGTTAATTGGAATAGTATCCTTAAAATGCAGCATCTAATAAGCAGTGATGATTTAGGCAGTATTTTTTCAAATGACCTTTAAGTATCTGATTTCAGAATTAAGATTTTTTTTTTTTCCTCTTGTTTTAAGTACCTTGAATTCATTCTGTCTTTGTCATGAATGGTTTTCAATCTCATACACTTTTACATATTTTCAGCTTTATCTGCAGATATGATATGAGAGTTAAACAATGTTGCAGAGCGTATTTTCTGCGTGAGTTATAAGGGAATTTCCTTTAACAAAAAAATAATTTGTCTGTCCCAGTTAATTACTGCTTTTGTTTATTGTTTATAAGTGGTTTGTGCTTTCACTTCGGCATTATAAACCTCTGCTAATATATTATCTGTTACAGTAACATCAAGAAAGAAATTTGCTGTGAAATGGATTTTGTTGTGCTAGCAACTTCTTTTCTTAAAAGCTAGTGGCTGGAGGAGGCTGGAGGGGATCAGTGCAAAGTTATTTAGCTCAAACCCTGTAACTATGCAATGATGAATTTGGGTTTGCTGGCCTTGCCTGTTCAAGAGAGAAGATTCTAGACAGGATGGATCTTGTCTGGGATCTAGTTTGTCAACTCCTTTATTGCTTAATCAGAGTAGTAATAGCACAGACAAGTAGGATTTCAAGGACTGCTCGGAGGTCATTCAGTCTCTTTTCATGCCCAAGGCAGAATCAAATATTGCTAAGTGATTTCTGGCAGGTTTTTGACTAAGCTGTTCTTAAAGATCTCCAATGATGAGGACTTCACAGCTTTGTGTGCAATCTATTCCAATACTTAAGTAGTCTTAGACATGAAGAAAATCTTTGCAACAATTTTTGTTAGAGCTAATACAGCCAGAAAAAACTGTTGATAAGTAGAGCTCATTAGGGAGCTTGTATTCCCTTACTGTGAGATACTTTCATAGTTAAAACTTTGTCTTTAAGAATGGGTAATACTATACAACCATAAATCTATAAATATAGAAAAAACATTATAGAAATTAGTTGAGTTGATATTGCTGAACTGAAATATTTTGACAGGTGCTTGTCAGGTTCTTTGCATTGGATATGTTCCCAGGAAACAGAGTGGTTTCAATAAAACTATTTTTTGATTAAAATCTGTTCTTTTTATCAGCTGTAGGTGTAAAGAATAATTCTGATTATTTCACTTGCGCTATTTTTTTCGACCAAAAATGAAAAGAGAAAAACCTGGCGTAACAATTACAATGGTAAAATGTTTACATCTCTGCTATATTGTTTGCCTGCTGCAATAAGGTTAATGACTTTGGGCAGATTCTGCTATGCTGCTTGCGCTGAATTGTATCTTCCCGTGCAGGCAGCTCTCTTGCTTTTAGTGGTTCTAGCTCTGTGGCAAAGTACTGGACACAGTAGTGTCGGGCTTTGCCTTGCAGAGGTTAAGCTGCGAGATGCCGGGACTGCGCTGTCACTCTTTAGCATAACGCAAGAATCACATAATTGAGCCTAGGTTTTTGCCGCTACTCATTTGGACGATGATAATAAAATGTTGAGCTTCTGAAGATTTGCTGATTTGGGTGAAAGTTTTGCTGAAGCAAAGGTGGCCTGAAGCATTAGGGTTTGATACTGACTGCACATGCAACACCAAATTGTATGGGCGGTTCTTTGAGATGGAAAGAAAATTCTCTCCATGCCTGCTGATTGTGTTATGCACTCAGGATTACGGTGGTGACCAGGTTTGGAGCTGGAAAGGAATCTTCTGATCAGCTGATGCACTTAACCAGATCAGCCCCTTGCCATTGCAAGGGTTTGGGCTTGAGTCCAAACTGAGGGCAGGCTTTTGGAACAGACCCTCTCTCCCGTGGGCTCTTTAGTCAGGAGGAAAATCCTGTGCAACCCACATGTGCCTGCACACAAGAATTCATTACTTTGGGGTAGATTTTGGTCTACAGTGTACGTGAAAATCTGTTATGTATGCAAAGCACAGCTGAGCTGTGTGACCAGGGAAAGGCTGTGATAAAGCAGGTGTTAGATCATCTTGTCCAGTTCCTCCATGATGTAGACAGTCTCCTCTAGTTTCACCTTCCTTTGAAAATAACTTCTTATTTCATGATTTTCATGCCAGCTGATATAGGTCTCTTTTTTATAGACTCTTAAAAGAGTCTTGGGGCAAAATTGACAAATATAAAGTCCTTCAGAATCTAAGTCTGATCAATTGAAAGGAATTAAAACTTTTTTTTCTTCTGGAAGAAATGTCTCTTGAGTAGAGAAATATAAAATCGTACACCATATTTCAAAGAGTTTGAAGTACTTTAGTAATTATTATGCTTATTTGCTTTATTTGGATGCTTCTTCATATTCTTGGATCTTTAAATGTGCACAGACAAGTAAATTGTGCACCCGCCCCTTTCTTCTCCAGGATCCTTCGTTGTTGAATGGCAAAGTGACGCTGCATCAAGTTACTGCTGGGACTGTACTATCGAGGCAAGGAGATCAGGTGAGTGTGCGTCATCTAAGAGTAGAGAGAATGTAAGTCTGACTCAGTCTTTGCCCCCTACTATAAGGTATTTATACACATTGATGATAAATAAAAAATCCCCACCTGACCCCTCCCAAGCCTTCTCTTCTCGAGGTGAAACACTCCCAGCTCTCAGCCTTTCTGCGCACGTGGAGTAGCAGTGTAGCCAGAGCCAGAGTGGAAATCTGGTACCTGTTTGTTTTCAGCTCTTACGTACCTTCATGAGAAGGTAAGGAGTATCATACCTCTATCCTTCCTGAGGAGGAATGGAGACTGGCTAGCCTTTTTTCGTGCCCCGTGCTGTGGGTTTCCAGTGATGTCACTCAGTTGCAGTAAAGTATTCCGCTCCCAAACAATGGACGTCCAGTGTTATTTGTTTATGGCTAAATGTATTTAGGATATAACAAGATTCATCTGTAATAATACTGTGTAAATAAACAAGCTTATGCAAAGCAGATGAGGGGCAGCTCCAGTTACAGTGCCGCTGTATTCTGCTCTGCTGAACTGCGATGCCCTTGTCATGCTGCTGTGATTACACCATTATCTCCGTTCGCAAATCTGTTGTTATTTCTTGAGGTCTTACAGAGACAGCCTTCGTTTTTCATAGCCATACAAAGAGAAACACATTTTTCAATATTGTGGCTGCTTAGTTTTAAATATTCATAACCTGCTTTTAATAATTCACTATTGTGTCTTATTTTATCACCTAATTGTTCAAAAACTATAGGGAGCTTTCTGGAAAACAGATAGGTCATGATAGTACTGTCACTGTGATAATTGCTTTTAAAATCTTCAGGGATTTTGCTGAGCTCTTTTTCCATTTTCTCCAGGATGTTAATGTTTGCTTTGTGGTCTCGGGGATGCTTCATGTGTACCAACGGAAGATAGACTCGGAGGAGGACACCTGTCTCTTCATTACCCATCCAGGAGAACTTGTAGGCCAGCTTGCTGTCCTGACTGGGGAACCACTGATTTTCACCATCAAGGCCAATCGAGACTGCAGCTTCCTGTCTATTTCCAAGTCCCATTTTTATGAGTGAGTTCTGCCATGAAAACATATATTCTTTTTTTAAATTATTTTTTAATTTTTTATGGCTGTTTTGAACAAATGTGAGTGGTGGATGTATGTGTGGCGTAGTATTGCTACAATACATCCCGCAGCAAACCATATAGTTTACGTGAGTGTGTTAAGTGCCCGGAGGAGTTCTGACCCATTGTATCATATGGCTTTATCTCCAGCAAGAGGTAATGCAGGGAACATGGTAATATTAAATGGTGATATCTCCTTTGTTCCAGGTTTATAGAGCACTTAAGCTGATGGGGTGTGATTTGTGACCCAAGACTCATATACTTCGTAATCCAAATAAGAAAGTCTGGCCAGAGTCTGTGCTTTGCTGGGTTAAGTGCTTCTTTGCCAGGCCCTTTCTCTTAGATTCATTATTCCTTTTTGCTGGAGAACCACGCCAGTTCTATTTCCAAGCACAGCCTAGGCTGTTGGATGTGTTATGAATGATTGGTCTTGGTGTAACTGTAGGTTTTCAATGCTCACTAATAGAATAGAACAAACAATAATGCCCCTGTACAGGACAGGTTCCTTTTTGGACCTTGGAAGTAGTACATGACCTGTGACTTAGTGCTTGAAGGGGGATATAGGTATTTCTTAATTAAAAACCCAATATAATGACTGTGGTTAGCCTTGTTGTCCGATATTAATGATTAATGCCCTGGATTTATTCCATGATCCTGTTGTTGTCAAATACCTCTATTTCCTTTTCTAAACGCCTTTTTCAACTTCTGCTTGAATGTCCCATCAGTCCTGTGTTATGTGAAGGACTTTTTGAGGTTGTGTTTTCTAGGCCACTATTACATTGTATATTTCTGCATACTTCTTACTTTCTAAGTAATTCTAATTGTTTGTATTCCTGATCAACTCTACTGCAGAATCTTATTCTGTGATTTTTTTAAATTTTAATCTTTTCACCTCAGGCAAAAGGCTGTATGCTGTAAAACTGAACACAGTGTTCTCAGCAGTGTGCTTGGTTGATTAGCTGTGTTTTTCAAGTCTGTGCGGTGGATGTCAACTCTTTGACCTAATTTCTGATAGATGCTCCCCACTTGTGCCATTCCATGCGGTATCAGATCTATTTCTTCTAAGCTCCTGCTTTTTCTTTCTTTCTTCTTCTACTGCTGTTTTCCTACTTGTTTCTGACTAAATTTCATTATGTCATCTCAGCCAACCAGTTAGATTCCACCTTTTCCTCCTCTTTTTTTTGTTTTGCTAGTCAGTCCTGGATGAACTCTCATTTGCTTGAGCTCATTTTCCTGAGTTTTCTCTCTCAAGAATCAGGTTGTCTCTTGTTTACTCCAACTTATATTTTTGCTTCCATTAACCCGTTACCAGTCAGTGATCTCGAACTCATCAGTCTATCACCTCTTCATCATTTTTGGGACCTTTCCAAATCTTTCTTTTTCTCCTTTAAAAAGTCTGTTGCCAGCTCTCTGCATTTTATGAGCTCTGTGATCTTCCAGTGTTCCATCCTCACAATTTCTCCTGAAATCCAGGCTTTATATCACTTCTAACTCCTGTTCCCACATTTAAAAGTGTCATTGTAGGAAGTCTTTGAAAAGCATGAAGTGTCTTCAAGGTTTGTTCATTTTTGCTTTGAACTCTATGAGAAAGAAAAACTTGTTGATAAAATTAGACGTAAGTTTTATTTTCCACGTCTTGTGCCAAATTCTGTGCTCCTAGTCCTACAATGTTAGGCTCTTTCCTTCACTCGGAATATCACAGGAAAGATTGAAAAAAACCTATTTTTTTTTCTTTCTCTTATCTTACTGACCAGAATAAATTTGACAAGAACCTCCATTATGCTCCAAAATTCCCTTCTTCCTTTCTTGTCAAATATATTACTCTTTTCCTTTGAGCTGTCCTGCAACACTGTATGTGTTTTTTCTCAATAATTAATGAGAGAATGAAGCAGAAGGGACATGGTCAATAGTTGCCATTAGGCAAAGAGCAGAGTAATGGGAGTAGCCCAGGGTTTAGAATTGCATGTTGGATGTTGGACAACAGATTAAATCCTTTTCATTGAAACTTCAGGGCAGGAGCCTTTTACATGGTACTAACATGACTAACTGACTGTCTGTAAATGTAGAGTTTAAGTATAGGGGTGGCACAAGCTAATTATGTAGTATATACCTTAAATGCTTTGCTATTTTGCTGAACTGATGTACTAAGTGTGCAGTGCCTACGCTGCAACTGTTGGTGTCTCCTGACGAACGGTGTAATCAAGTTGTCACCAGACTCGAGGGAATATGTTCAGGTTCTGCAGTACTAGGGACACTGTCACATGTTCTGCTTCAGTAAATTTCACAGTTTGGAGTCTTAATCATGTGCACTTGCCAGATTAGCA